GAAAATGATGTAACATAAATATTCATAATATAGCAACAAGTTTCCCGGTAGGAAATACGAAGCAAACAAAGAAAAAAAAAGTATTATAATGTTTACTTACTTGTGTGAGAAATGAGAATTACTTCTAAACCTTACGTAATCGATCATCTCAACGCATAGTTACAATATTATTACACACTTATTTCTGTTTTTATTTCCCATTCTGTTTTCTTACTAATTACTATTTCCTTACGCATTAATGATACTGCACAACAGTTTCATAGATGCCTTTTTAATTAATATTTTTGTATTCTATTGTAGTAATTGTAAGTATTTATATCAGTTATCTTGGGACTAATTGGCACTGTGTGAATTGTCCTGGTATATTGCATTATTATAAATGTATTATAGACTTTATCAACTGCTGATGTTGTGTTGAATATATTTAAATACGACACGCCAATGAATGAGCGACCGCCCCAAAGATTTACTTTGTCAGTTATGATTCTTTCCACCACCAAAGAGTCAGTCAGGCATATAACAAGCAAACTTTTTGCATTTTAGTCAGATTCGAACTGACGTACTTTGCCATCTAAGTCCAAGTAAAAAAAACTAATATCTTTAATGTTTAAAAAATTTCATTTAGTCATTAAGTAAATAAAATAACTAAGTATATATTAGATTGCTTGCTGGAAACGTCATAATAATTAGGTACACTAATTAAAAAATATCTACTCTTTTTACTTACCTTAATGTTTCTACAATCCTCAATTATCAACAACAGTAGTTTAATTAATAGTGACTTATAATTAACTTTTTAACGACAGCATTCGATACATCTAATTACAGTACTGCTGATAGGGAATCGACCCGTACTGTTCGATACTTTTAGTTTCATATTGTTACGTGGGGTGACTATTATAATACTCGAGGATAATCCGTATCATCTGCTACCGGGGTAATTTCGCTGTGGGGTAATTATTTAAAAGGGAGCGAGGTGGACCACACTAAGCCCACGCACGTGTCGGGTTCTAATTGTTGCATCTGATAACCAATATGGCTTTATAGAGTAACCACAATATATTAGAAATTTTCTTTTATATTATTACACTTATTTTCAGAAATGTTGTTATTTTTCTGAAGTTAAGTAGTATTTCTGTTCAGGAATCTATAAAATTATTATATGCTGTTATATCAGAAGCATTGCCAACAGTCCTTAAAGTACAGTTTCTTTTTTGTTCTTGATGACATTATTTGCAGAATAAATACGTCTTTCACCATCCTAAATATTTACATAGTATAAAATAAAGACGCTTCAGCTGTCTGTTTTAAACCTTTTAAACTACGCAAAGGATATTATATAAGGATATAAAGGAGTTTTTATCAATAGATAAAGTAATTCCAGAGGAAGGTTTTTATGTACGAGTATAGTACGGTAGTATAATATATATTTTGAACTTCATTATTAGGACGTAAAACCGGGATAAAAATACAAACACACATTTTAAAGAATATTCGGAATAAGACATTGGCTAATTGGTTTTACAGAATCACTGCTTGAACGCTATATTAAAAGATTCAAACCGATTTAAATAATAATAACATAAAAAGCCGTGTAACAATTTGGTTTACTGCCAATTCTTCTCAACTGAAGTAGCCAAACTGGGCAGTAGGGGTGGTGATAAAAAATTAAGACGAGCATGAGAGGCCGAAGGTTCTATTTGAATACATGATTTTGGGTTCATTAGTAAAAACTTTTGCTTGAATCAATTCAAACAGCATACCATTCAAGGATAAATAAAAAAAAACCTTTTAAGCTAAGACAGCTCAATTCATTTATCATACAGCCATATGATACAAGTTATACCGCACGTATAACCTCCCTAGTAGAAACTGCAACATAAATTATTTTCTGTGGGGAGTGTCAATGTGTGTTCCTTCCTCAGAAATGTAGTAAACCGCAGCGATTGACTGCACCCGTATTACCATGACGCATAGCTTTTTGGGATATTGCGGGGACAGTGTCGATATTATCCGATAGCGTGCTCCAATTAGAGCGGGCAGAGTCTGACTGCAACCCGTCTATCGATATTGAGTTAACCACTAATTGAAGTGACTTGATTAAAATATTGTACGTTTCAAATTATGCAATATCTACGTGTATTGTTTTCGTGCCTAGTGAGTGATAACAATATAGAAGATCTAGCCTAGGGGGTAAGGGTTTTTAGTAATTATCCAAAGTATAATCTGACGGCCTCGGTGGTCAAGCGGTTTAACACACCGCTTTACTCCCGATGATCGCGGGTTCGATTTCTCGTAACATTTGTAGTCTGGGTGTTTTCTATGTATACTGTGTAACTATTTACAAAAAAAAATCTAATTTATATTAGTTGTCTAGTACCCATAACACAAGTTTTACTTACCGCGAGACTAGGTGGCGCTGTGTGAATTGTCCATATTATTTATAATTCAGTAACAAAAATCTAAAAATATCTCCTCGGAATATCAAACTTTACTTATTTGTAGTGTGGATGTCCAGCATTTATGTCCAGTATGGAACTACAGATTAGGTACGCCCGCGTAAGTACAAACTGAAAACTAGTGCTGAGCGCACATCAGTGCAGCAATATAAAGCTTGTAACTAATGCCAATTTTTTTATAAATTTTAAATCTAATTGTAGAACTCAGTAACTGTATTACTGTTGACAATAAATAGATTTATTATTATTATTATTAATTGGTCGATCATGACGAAGATAATCTTCGTCAAGATCATAATTAAAATAAGACATTTATATATTTATTTTTACATACTACTACCATTACATACCATCACAACTGTTATTCCAGATAGTTAGAGGAATTGTCTACTGACGACGTAACGAACGCAACACTTGAAGCTTTAAATGTGGACATATCAGCCCACATTTCAAGCCTGGGAGTAAACCTAACGCCGTCTCTCAGTTTAATTTTTGGTCTGTTATCATTGCTTCCTCCACCAGTCTGTCAGAAATATAAACTGTCACACAAAGGCTTTTTGTGTCCGCCAAATTTGATCTGACGACTGGTTACATATCAGGGTTGTAAACCATTAGGCTACGACACTAAATTTTATTAATCGATTAAAATCCAATATTATGCATCGCACATCACTATTATTATTGTACTTTTAAGTGTTGTTGCACAACATTTGCTCTATTGTTAACAAAACTGCGCACCCGCCTGTACCTATCAATGCACATCCCCTCATAAAAGATTACACGTCTAATAGGAGCCATTAAAAAGCGTAACAAAATGCATTAGTGTATCACTGCCGTTCAGTATAAATCACTTCTTTGCTGACAAATTCTTTGGGCGTTATTTCATTTCAAATACTATATTAATATTGATGACCCTAAATGTTTTGTTTTTTGTATATCATTTAAAAATTATACACGCAACATAGTTTTTCAAGACATTTATTTTATAAAAATGCGTCGTAATTTTGTTCAAAATACAATGTACAGTCAGCCTCGTAAAACACTATGATACATTGGATAGTATAGAAGAGATTATGTATATTAAGTGACATAATGTCATTAAAAACCGATTCTTAATAGTTATCAGATCAAAAATATTACACAACTATTTAAACTTTATTTTCTTTTACGTGAATGAATGACTTTCACATAATTCAAAGATACAAAAACAGATTATTTGATTACAGGAAAGTTTATAAATAATATCACATAATTTTAATATCGAAATACCTTTGTACAAAATGCGGTCTCGTCAATATGAAGTATAAAGTGTATAAACACATACAACAACACCGCTATCAGGTGAAAGTTAAAAATTCATAATATATATGTATATTCTAAAAACTATTGATACCCGTTACAAAATAGTTAGATATATTATGTATGCTATCAAAATTGTAGCAAATGTTATTGTGTTACATACTTTAATGTTTTTTATCCCTGACGTTCTGATCTTTACGAAGCTGACTGTAAGTTCAAAAATTTATCAGATTAAATATAACATACAAGCTTCGACATTTATTACAAATAAAAGCATTTTTCCTTAGAACAACAATACATTAATGGTGTTCTATTTTGTGCATTAAGTACTTGAGTTAAGCAGTTTCATATTTCTTTATATACTATATGTAGTATAGTGTACACTGTGAAAATTTAATTTAAGATACGTATAATAATGAGAGTACTTAAAGTCATTATTAAATGAATAAATTTAATAATTATAAAATAGGCCCATTAATTAATTAATATTTTAAGGGTTAAATGCTGTGATACATCTGATACATATTATAACAATTAAAATTTTATAAATTTATTCTCCTGTTTAAAACAACTAAATTACGAAAGGTAACTTTACAGTTTTAGTGTAAACTATAAAAAAATGTATTAGATAATAAAATTCGGAGTAAATTTCTATTAAAATTATGAATATTGGTGGAAAATATGCACATTTTTCAACATAAATATTGATTATTATTGTTTATTTACAGGATACCAATATATAATGGGAATGAGCGTTGTTTTTAGTATTAAAAAATATAAACCATTTATAATTGTATTATATATTGGTCCTATAGATAATTTTGATATATAAAATGGATATAATATATATTAATTGCATCAAATTTCGCAATTATGCGCAAAAGCGATTTCTTAAAAATATAATTTTTATCCGATTACGTCAGGTATACGATTACCAACATTTTGTTTATAAAATTAAACATTCAACTATTTTATTAACTTACTTTTAATAAGCAGTATAATTGCGTCTTAAGTATAAATGCTAGTATTGACTTATACATGTGATGTTGCTAGTAATATAACTTAATATTGAGAAGACTATTTAAATAACAATAAAATAAGCAACAGTGTTTTAAAAGATAACCCCCCTAGCCATTGAAAGTGAATATACTATTTATTATGTTACTCAATTTTATTAGGTACAACACTAGTAATGCCCTTTATATTTTAGTAAGTTAACAAACATCAAAAATATTATTAATTAAATTTAAACAGAGTTAAGTTATCCTGACGTGCATAAACACAATTTAAATCTAACAACAATTATATATATTACTGGCAACATCTCTTGACGTAGGAAAAATTAAAAAGTATATTCATTTATAGTTCAACATACGCAAATAGTCCTAGATATCTCACATAGTCGGACAATAAAATTCGGCGAGATAATGTAGATATTTAAGTATATCAATTACAATTAAATGTTGTCCTTTTATGTGAGAGCATTTTATATTTATAAAACAAATGAGGAAATATTTACAAGTCCCTAATTACTTATATACATGTCTTAGATGCTAGTTGCAAATTCGTAATCGTTCTTAGAAAATAAATCTCAATAATAAAAAGAATGAAATGGTCCTGCATTTTAATCGAGACAAGAATGTTTCATCTTAAATAACACATGTACCGATATTTGTTTACCAAAGTTGAATAATTTTAAATTGTCACTGGTTGTATATAACTTAAATTATTAATTTATATAACTAAATAAAAAAAACAATATAGAGTAGTAGAGTCTCTGTATAAACGGTCATGGTCACAGTTTATGAGATTATCGCAACAGGTAATAAATTACATTAATATTGTGACATAATCATAGCATATAAATCGTAACTATATACACTAACCTATGTTATACCCTCATTTACTACTATATTAGAAGGCACATTCTGTACCTTTTGAAGCAACGGTGACAATCTTAACAATCTTAAAAAGAATTGAATTGATTTTTCAAAAGCCTTTGATATAGAATTAATATCTATTACCAAACTGATATCAATTATACCTAATTAATAACGATAGACAGTAAAGCTGAAAAGTACTTAAATGGTAAAGTAATAAATTCACTTTTGGCAGTTTCGAATACTGGTCGCGCCTTTCACAATACACAAGCTGTTATACTCGTTAAATATAAGTGACATCCAAAGAATATCGAATAAAATCGTCGTACGTAGACGTTTTAGGTCATCATTCTCTTCATTAAACCATACCACAATATTTAAGAATATTCTTAAACAGCAGAATTTTTACCAATAATTGTTCCTCCACTAGTTGCATAAACCCGTCGACCGTCAAATTCCACCGAAGAATTCCTCTTTATCCCATCGTCTCCGGTATCTCTTAATGGTTCCTTCTCGTCTCTGTGTAAATAAGATATAATTATTTAGTAAGTATATATATATAATATTCAATTGTATAGTAAGCATGATATTTATATACAGCATAAATTCCAACTCAACCAAATATAAAATTTCTACTTTGTGATTTTATGTACATTTATATATTTACAATTAATGTTATATTAGTAGATCTATATTATGTTTGCATTTATAACACAAGAAATAATAATACCGATCCTGTATACGTTGATATTATTTTAAGATGAAACAATACTCTAAACTTAATGAAGATAGCTATTCTACTTAAAATTAAATATATTACGTACTCGGTACTTGGTACATATATGCTTGGCATTTTGGTATTTGGTTATAATTGACTAAAGCCAAAGGCTAATATGGAAACTATCAATTGGAAAATTACGTCTCTCTACGTAAAATTAACTTACTTGTTGTTGGGTTACTTATATGATTCTTATAAAAGTATTGTGTGTAATATTTAGCAGAGTTTTGTCATTTTATTCCATATCTATTCTAACACTTATTAACTATAGCAAATAACGTCTGCATTTGTATGTACAGGTACATAATTATAATTATGCGATTTGTTTAGCAAAGGAATAATTGATTTATCTACTAATATTGTATTGCATCACAATATAATATGTAATTTCTTTTAAAAGTGTTTAATTTTTTTATATAGATATATTCCTATTGATAATATATTTACAATCATGATCAAGCAACTTAAAAAAATATAGTTTAAAGCCAAAAACAACACACTTTTAATTTCAAATGAAACCAGAATAAATCAAAACAAGCACATGTTATTTTGAAATCAACAGTACGCTATATGATGATTATTGAAATATCTTACACTGGCGTGGTTGGTACATAGCTACATGTGACCCGAGCAGCGTGAAAGACAATCCGATTGTTAGTGATTATTGTGCAGAGGAACATTGTTTTAAATTAATGATACGCTAGAAAATAAAACTGCATAAAAGGAGAAACAAATAGAAATTAATAACACATATGTATTCAATGACAACTGCCGTAAGAGATGTTCCGGAGAAATAGAACTCGCTCAAATTCCAATAGAAAAAAAACAACAATACAGGCACCCGTGCATCAGATAGGTAACTTAGATTTTTGTTTCTTGGCACAATTTCTTCGATAAATTACACAATTACATAACATTTAAAAAAAGTAATTTAACTTATTAATTACAAAATAAAACCAAAGCACAATATCTAATCAATAAATAAATCAGCCATATGTACAAAAGGCAAAATGCTAAGCTTGCTATATCTGATGTTTATTATAATATATTTACACGACGGCCTTTCTCTCCCACATGTCCAAGGTAATCCAATATTACATTTTTATTGGTAACTCAAATGCCACGTGTCGAGGGCTCTACCATAGCATCCGCACAAACAAAGCATGCAGGCAACTCTCAAGTTTGTATGGTGCCTTACGTTGGAGTCGGCACGAGCTTCACGGGTGGCGGCAGGGGCGCGGGGGAAGGCGGCGCGCGCGGCTTCGTGCTGCAATAAGGGAGCGGGAAGCGCCAACCGTACAGACTAGCGGGCAGAAACATCTCTCATCGACACTAACACTTAAATATACGAGGACGTGGAACAGGAAAACTAAAAGGAATTGGACGAGACGACAGGATAAAAACATAAAAGTTAATTTCACAAATATTCGGTGTAAAGGACACTGGTTAAGATGTCGATGAAGTGCTGTCACAATGATTTTTTATTGACAGTGATTAATTCAACATTGAACAGTTACAGAAACCTTAAATTGATATTAATTAAAGATGATTTTACCTTCCCAGTTTGGCTTCGTCCTCTTTATGTTTCTTTGCGCGTTTACCGCATATGGTGGCGATAAATCCTTGTCGCCTGAAGCATAGTAGAAGGAGATCTACTATCAGCAAGCAAAGGAATACACCAGCCAATGCTACTCCAATAATGGCACCACTTGATAATAGTTGAGGTGGAGCAAATCCGGAACCCACACCTGTTGAAATATTTTCGCTATAGTTTTAAGTTAACTAATGTAGACAAAACAATTTTTGAAGAGCAGTAGATGCAACAATACTTAGTCCAAATTATACTCTAGTTTTATTTATATGAAAACATTTAAATATTACAAGATATGCTGCTATTTCTACTGCTCTTCATTTGGTTAGTTAACGTATCATGTCACAAAAGCTGAAAATGTTAGACATGTTTTAGATGATACATGACAGTGATTGTAACAAATCCACTTGCAGCGCTTGTGCACGGTAGTAATAGGTTAACGCGTAAAATGTAAAATTATTGATTTGCCTTTCGAAAGCGATTTTGATATTCATTACAATCAGGATGTGATGATAAAATAAGGAGTGCTTTCAGATCGGCCATACGTGCACCCAATCACCGATAGTATTATAATAGAAAATACTTAAAAAATACACATATTATGTGTCCTAAATAGAAAGCCCTCCGCTAAAATGAAATGGGGTTTGAATGGGAGTGATGTAATGACGTATGATAATATGATAGATGATGCGTAAGTCGTAACCTTAGAAGTAACAGTAATGATTTATATAAAAGAAAAGTTGTCAAGATGCAAACATTCCAAATCATCGATTGAACGCAAAATAAAAGTTCAAACCCCATAACAAAAGTTATGAATCTATCGAAAGCGATATAATAAATCTATAGATAAATATCAATTTACAACAAATATCTTTACAACAAACTACTATTCGGATGGAGTTCTAATAACCATCACCTGAGATGTTAACCCTATATATATTTATTGAAAACTAAATAGACTATTTGTGATTTGAAATGATTTCATGTCTCACTATATTTCTTAAATCAATGCATTTTGCGACGTGGATACATAAGATAGAGACAGTGTCATTTCAAATAACAACGTTATACTAATTCATATCGATAAAACTATATTATACTAAATTCAACTTCCAGAATTAACATTTAAAGAACATATAAAATTAGGTATACATCACGGTATAAGTATGTATAACGTTGACAGATCCATATCACTAAGTCATCCCATGCTAGGATAAAATAAATTAACAACTATGGAGTAGTATATTCTAAAATAAAATAAATGAATATTTTCATCTAGTATGACAAATATAAAATTTGGAAAAATCATGAATAGAATTACGTCTATACCTATTATAACATATGTTAATGCTGATCATGCTAAGTGGGAAATGTGAATTTTCCGTTGTTTCAAAGGGTGTACACAAAGTAACGGTAAGGTCATGCAATAGTGGGTAATTAACTCATTCCAGGGAAACTATGCAGCAAGATCATTAATGGATAGGTAGATTATTAATATAAAGTATATTTACCCAACTTCATTGAGGGCGACACAAACACACTTCAAACGATCAACATTAAAGGATTAATGGACTGGTCTCTTGATAAGCATCTTGACAGCTTTCTTTTTAGGTTATCTTATACAAGTGTAAATTTTGGTTAACCCATTAATTAAGGTTAGGAGTTATATTACTTTCAGATCAGTGTTGGAAATGGTAAAGGTAATGAAAATAAAGAATTAAACAACTTTAAAAATGAATGAATTTGTATTAAATTAATATATACAAGTATTTCATTCACTTCGCACGCAACGAGAAATACATGGATGCATGTTTTTAAAACATTTTTATTATTTTTCACATTGGTCAATTTTCGCTTCAGAAATAGATCACAATCTAAATACTTTATGCAGTATTCTTTGCTAATTGTTAGCTTTTAAAATCACTCATCTATAATATATGTACAGATCCATATCTTTTGCTTACAAGTACAAACATATTTTTAGCTGGACGCCATTCTCCTCGACACACTATCCTCTTATTTTAGTCTATCAAAAAGACAAAATATTCATCAAAAATTTTGACACATTTTTAGAACTCATACATATCACTATAAATATCATTATTTTGGTATATTTATTAAATTAACACTAATTTACGATTTCATATTTTGGCAGTGTTAATTTATTAGCCCATTAACTATCTACCTACACGTATTCCATTTATATTTATTCAGTAATAATTATCCTATCTTATTGATATTTTATAAATAAATTAGGTACTCACTAAAACCGTCCAACATCATCTCAATAAACGTTTAAAATTTCATAATTACTCTTTTAATAATGTCAATTTTTTAAAGTTTATACGTATTAGTCAATTCGTTAAATTTATCTCGTTTTAAACACAAATTTTAAAAAGTTTTATTACATACAGTCAACAAATAGTTTTATCACAACAGGTAGGCTTAAATAACAATAATCGTCTTAGACTTCTTTTGTTAAAACGATTTTATAGCCGGATTTATATTATGTGGAATAATATAATTATAGTAATGATATCCATTTTAAGGTGAGCCCATCCGAAATGGCTCGAACATCCATTTGGATTACCTAGAAAATATTTCATAATATGAATACGTATAATAATCGAAAGAAAAGGAATACTCATATAACTCAAAGAACATAATTCACAAAAAAACACCACTGGTAATAAATTAACACCAACAAAATATTTAAATGCAAAAGTTTAAATAAAAATTATCATATAAATCTAAATCATAATAATACTTGTCAAATGCAGAAATACTACTAAAACATTGTTTATATAAATAAAAAAAATACCAAATATAAGTGTTGTCTTCATACTTGTAAAAACATTAATTATTATTTTGTACCCTTTTACAATTACAGTTCTTATGCTAATACAATAAAGGGGCAAGACTGAATAACATTAAATTAATATATAAAAAAGCCAAACAAAATATTGTTACAAAACAAAATTGAACAAAAACATAATAGTTGTTGACAGCAAATGTCTTATACTATAAAATAAAATTGTACTTACACAAAGAAGCAAAGATGATAAAGAAATAATTACCAGTAAAACTTTAGAAGAGAAACTCCTTTGCTCTGATGAGCATAAATTTTAAGGCACTACGAGCAATACTATAGAATGCAATAAAACACAGTTGGGTATAGTTCACACAATGAAACGCAAAACGCACGGAATGACGAAACTTAATGCATAGGATATGGCAGATGCCGCAGAAGGAATTAATGGGTTTGGAGCAGTATAAACATCGTAGAAACCAGCTCGAATTGGCAGATGATTACTCTCTTGATTATACTCACCGAGTGCAGTCTGCAGATATAGTTCGACTGGTAATGAGTATCCGAGAATGTTGTGTGCTCTTAGTTGCATACGATAACGAGTGTCAGGATATAATCCCCTGACTTCATAACTAATAGCGTCGTATGACTTCAATTCTTCTACTACACATTGAGATTCCGATACCACTTTCCATTCTCCACTTACTTTCACCACCTGGTCAAAATTATCAATACGAATTAAATTATGATAATAAATACAATATTTTAAAATTTCAACAATTGTAAAGAGGACTTACAGGACAATAGTTGATTTCGTACATGTCAATAGGTTCACCATTATGAGCTGGAACTTTCCATTTTAACTCATATTTGTCTGCGTACTTTCCATAAATAAGCGATTCGGAGTTGATGTTTTCCCTCCATTTTGGTTGTTGAGGAGGAGAACTTGAAATCAATAATTATATAAATTACCTAAATATACTAAAAATAATGTTAAAACCAATGAGTTCGTAAGCGGTAACTGAATAGTAAAGCATCGATGCAGCCTTATTAATAAATATAAAGGCGAAAATTAATATTATCAAGTTGTATTCCATTGAAGACTGTTAGAAAATAATAATAATCCTGAATCTAATATTACTACAGCAGCAAATTTTGAATACAATTGAAAGTCAATAGCGAATAAAGTAGATAGATATACCGCATTCTATGGTATCGATGAAAAAATAAATAAATGAAAGAAATTACGTTTTAGGCGTTATAACCGTTAATGGTGCAGACCAAACTCCGGCGCCGACTTGATTCACTGCAGCGAATCTAAAGTCGTAAGTGAACATTGGCCTCAAATTCTCGATAATGTATGGCGAGTTGACAGACCAGGTTCGATTACTTGCTAGATTCCAATCGAAATTGTTGTTTTCCTTGTATTGTGTTGTGAACGCTAGTATTGGAGGACCCATATCCTCGGCTGGCCCCACAATATTAAAGGACACAGATGTTGCTGTAATTGTTTCTTGTATGGCCTAGAAATTCAGAAATAGATGTTACCAAATGTTAAATGCAATTCTGTTGTGAAACATATGGGACAGAATAATGGTAAAGAAATGTGATAACTATTTTAACAATTAATTTCATATAAAACATGACAAATAATTTCACATGTGTAGGTCTAAAGTCAAAAGTGTATTTATTCATAGTTTATTTATAGCTTTTAATAGCAAATTAATAGCTTTTCATTATACGCATGTGATAGTATATACGGTCTTTACATAAAAAAAACATATTTTTAAATTAATTAGTGTCGTTTTTTTTTCATGCAAATCTCTGAAACGACTGTACCGATTTTGACGAGACGTTAACTCGCTAAAGCATTAGATAGCGCTAAAGATAGCTAATGTTATAGTAAAATAGGCTTTAATTTAGAAAAAAAAAAATTTAAATACAAAAAAAGTTTCATTCTACACGACTAAATCATGAGTAACAGCTAGTACTAAGTACATACAAATTGTTTATTCGGTATTTTTTATATTTTAATCTTTATATTTTGTAATAGATAAACATTAACTTACTTGGACAACTCGGCCCGGTGGGAATCCTTCTCTCAACTCTATTATGTGTTCAGCCTCACCAAGTATGTTTGTGGCTATGCATTTGTATACACCAAACATAGCTCTATCAACTGGGCTGATAGTAACGTAGCTAAGAGGTCCAGATCCGTAGATCTTTATATGTGGAGTTTCTACTAAATCCACATTCAGGTGCCTGTAGAAAGCCAAGAAATTTAATTTTCTTATATTTTATATGAGTCTATAACGCTTTACTTCTACTAAATACATATTACAGTTTTTTATGAAATTGGAATAGCAAACAAACTGACATAAAACTGATAAAGTGACATAAACTGATATCACGTTATCATGTGACAGCCATGAGACTACTACTTCGTTGCCATTCTAGAGGACTAAGATATTACGCCTTTAAACCTTTAATTTCATGCCTAATCGAACTCCATAACCGAAAGATAGCAAAGCAAGCTGCTTTGCTTGGGTGCAGGAATAGGTAACACTGAGGTCACGTAAACGATTTTTTTATAGTCTACTTCTTTTTAATAACTCACCTCCATTTAATAGTAGCATTTGGAATACTTTCTGCGATACAGCTTATGTTCACGGGTTGACCATTCCAACTCCAGATTGGCATATCAGGCATGTTTTGGAATGTCGGCTTAAATTGAACAGTCAAATGCCCATTCTTTCTTGCTTCTCCACCTAATAAAAGTAAAATGTTTGAAAAGAAGCTCTAATAGTCGATTGCTGTAAAATAAATCCATGAATTTGTCCTACCATCGTTTTCAGCTAAGCATTCGTACAGGCCATCGTCTGTTCTGTTAAGATTCGATATTGTGATAACACCACTAGATTCCATTTGATCGCCGGTTGGTCGAGAACTTGTTTCCACTGTGATTCTGTAAACATTCAAGGGTCAATGTAATTAAATTAATCAAAATATTAGAATATGAAAAGAACGTATATGCCGTAACTTTAAATGAAACTTGGAAATATCACAAAAATGTACAAAACTAGATACAATATCTATTAAGTAAAACCTACAACCTATATACCCTTTTCTTATCTTTCTTGCCCTATTACTATCCTATCCAAAGGGAGTCTGGAAGAGATACTTAGCTATAAGACCGCTCAGCAGTTTATGTAAACTTATGTTAAATATATTCTGTATCTGGTACAGGATAAGGAGTGTAATTAAATAAAGTAAAAAATATTATTAATTCTCCAATTAACAAACATTTATTGAGAATCTCAGTAATGAGTTACTAATGAGTTAATTGAGTTTTGTATTTGATATACACAAGAAATTAATGAAAAATTCATATAATATTTTAAAGCACTTTTTATACGTATTTCCACCGTATGATGATAATATAACAAGATACACGTTTACTGCTTAGCTTTTTCTACTCATAATTATTTACATTGATTTATGGTAGCTAACTCTATTTTTTGATATTTGAAAACATTATTTTTGATAAATAAAACTATCCTTGAAAATACTGACTGTATTTATATATTGTTAATACTATAATGAACTATATGAATTTCGATATAGTATATTACAGTATTAACAATAGAGTAATTGATAGTTAATAATTTACTTTTTCTACCTAACATTTTATTAAAAGGTTAAAATATTGTTGAGTTATACGGACTTCAAAATAATGAAAATTGTTATTACTTTCCAAACAAACCTTATTAAATATACGTACATACATATTCAATTTGCACAAAACAATTTTATTAACAATAATAATATCAAAGTTTCTGTAATGAATTTACTTAAATTAAAATAACACAAAGGTTATGAAAATACGCAAATTTCAGTTTATAGAAATAAAATAATTATTTGAAGAACAACATAGCCAACATTTTCCGACAATTATTTATTGTAAGTACTTACAGCGTTGTGCTAACAGCTACAGCTTATAAATGTTACTAATTTTCTACTATACTGTTTTATAGTGCTATGATATTACTATTTATATTTACCTTCCATTATCATACGCGCCATTTGTGAATGGGTCAGGATTACTTAATTTTCTGAAACTTATGCGAGGTGCCGGCCGTCCTGTCGCTTTGCATTCTAATCTACCCTCCATTTTCTCTGATACGGTTGCATTAAACAATTGGAATATTTTGGGGCGTACAAGCACTTCTACTTCAATCTCAGTTTCGTTCTGTCCAGCTGGATTACTCGCGCTACAGATGTATTTACCATAATCACTGGCTTCCACACGACTGAATGACAATAATCCAGTATTTTCGTTTACACTGAATCTAGATGTTGTAGCCAAATTCTAAAATACAAATGTAGAAAAAAACATGGTTTTACATTACTGGGTCAAAATCTTATATAACGTTTCTACAAAATTCTTCAATTTCTTATTAGTAAAAATTAAATCTGTTGATAGTATTATTTTAATGATTATAAAGATATAGTTCAGATTAAAATGCATAATGTAATTGGTACAGTAATTGATGAATGTTCTACTTTCTAAGACGCATTCCGACATGTTTAATAAAGCGTTACATTACTTCAATGCATCAGAAAACGTATAAGAACTAAACATTCATTAAATTCAACGACGCAGTCATCATTTCGAGACGACATGTTTGACTAAGAAATGGGGGTCAAAAAATTATATTTGCACAAGAATACTCTGTTACTAGTAAGTTACTAGTTTTTGTAGAATATCCTATTAATATTATAAATGCGAAAGTTTGTAAGTATGGATGGATGTTTGTTACTCTTTAAAGCAAACACTAATGAACGGATTTTAATGAAACTCAGAATAACACATAGGCTATAAATTTCATGCGAGTGACACTGGGGGCACAAATTGTTTAATATAAATAAAGATTAAAAATGAGTTTACGACTAAATTCAGAAACTGAATCAGAAACATTTTTATTTTAGTGGAATATCTAATCACACATAACATTATGTTTTCTAATAATTACAAAGTTATAATAGTGGTTATAATAAAAATAAAACAACTTACTTCTCGTGTTGATGCTTTAATCCAACTATAAGTCGGTGGTGGTTTCCCCCGAGCCTTGCAGGTAATTTGAGCGGTTTCCCCTTCTTTAATCACAACTACCTGATCTCTGTCCTCCATTTCTGGCGCAGTATATACCTTTAATAATTTATTCCATCAAAAAACTATTAATCTATATATAGATATAATTTAAGTCACAATTACACTATATTTAAACTAATTTGCATTTCTTTTATACTTTTTTACTAAAGGTGTCGGATTTTTGTAAATTATGTTTTAAATAGTACTATAAGCTACTTAGATTGAAGCGGATCCATCAAGCTCATCTTTGGCTGAATTACCTTCAACTATATTACCATATCACTATCCAATTCAAAACACTATTCATCCCTTTACATCTCTGAACCGCAACAACAAAAGTTAGAGTGAACATTAAATAATAATTATGCAAATATACCTCTACATTGATTTCGCGTTCCGATAGTTCACCAGTGTGGATGACAACAGCTCGGCACATATAAGAACCGTCGTCGCTTTCCCGTACATTTTTAATTAGTAACCCATTGGCATGAATTACGTATCTGTCACCAGTCACAATCTAAAACGTAAAATAGTATTGGAAACGAATAATGAATTAGAAAATAACATGGCCTTGTGTTACTACACTGTTTCACAACTAAAATTGTGAGATTTATTCTGGCAGACATCTTTTTGTAAATTGATATTGTTGACTGAAGTCATGAAAACAGGAATAACGAACCAAGTTGATATAAAAAAACGCCTGTATACTGGACTCTACTGCGTCCGATACAAATATCAAATTGTTACGAGATAGCAGCTACGTAGCACTCATACGTCGCCATTCCAGAAATCTATAATAGTATATAATATAACTCAAAGGTGACTGACATAGTGATCTATCAACGCATAGCCCAAATCACTGGACGGATCGGGCTGAAATTTGACATGTAGCTAGATGTTATAACGTAAGCATGCGCTAAGAAAGGATTTTGATTAAGATTCTACCCCCAAGGGGATAAAATAGGGGATGAAAGTTTGTATAAAACTATATCAATTTGAAACCGATCGGGCTGAGACTTTACATGTATAAAGCTACTATGACGTAGGTATTCCCTGAGAAAGGATTTTGATAAATTCCACCCCTAAGGGGATAAATTAACGCGAGCGAAGCTGCGGGCAAAAGCTAGTCTAGTATATAAAGTCTGTATGTCCTGTAATTCCACTACTGTATCTTAATTTGAAATATAGTTGAAATAAGTAGACTATGGTTGGTATCCAAGCAGATGAGTTTTTACAAAGTTTACTTCGGTCAAAGTATATTATTATTGCTATAATTGTAGGTCTGTATGTATTATGCTTACAAAGGCAGTCTAAACTAACAACTTTTCTTTGATTCACCTTTTCAGGTAAATCTGTCAATGCTTAGGAACCTACAAAACAATAATAAATACCTACCTGAATTTATAATATATCTATACATATAAATAAAATTGGAGTATCTGTTTGTAATATTGAAATAACTGTTTTTTACTACATGCATATGAATAAAAATACGGTAAATCCACCAAAATAACATTTTGCACAATTTTTGTTTGTCTGTCTATTTGTTCCGGCTAATCTCTGAAACGGTTGGACTGATTTTAACGGGCCTATTCTTGGCAGATAGCTAATGTAATAAGGAGTAACTTAGGCTATTCTTATTTTAGAAAAAATATTTTATTTTAGATAAAAAAATACTTCTTCGCCGACGAAGTCGCGAGTACAGCTAGTCATTAATAATATATTACTTACGGGTACTCCTTCTTTGAACCAATCTATAGTAGGTGCAGGGTCAGCGGTTACTTCACACATAACTTTAAAATCCTGTCCTTTTGTTGCATATTGATTTTCATTGGCATTTGTGAATGTGATAGCAACTAAAATAACAATAGAAATATATTTATAACGAAACACGATAAATAAAAAATGAAACAGCGAAACAAACATTCATAGTATGTAATATTTATCTGGAATACTATATATATTATAAATAATGTAACTGATCGCCGTTTGTTAATGGACAATATATGACCAAAAATATAATTCTGGTACTTTATTACGTTAAAGCAACGAAAAAATATTTCAGTTTTTGTTTGTCAATCAAGAAACGGCGTAACCGATTTTCACTAAAATATTGTAGTAAGCTTCAGCTAAATTTAGTGTGTTTATTCCAACCGTTTAGCAATCAAACAAGATATAACACGATGATTTCGGAGATCTAGCGGTTACACCGCGGCACACCGCCTTATATCTGATAGTCATGGATTCGATTCTTCGCACGACAAACATTTGTATTCATAAGTATGGTTGTTTGTATTACACTGAGTTTTGCAATGTTAAATATGTATAATAACTAAATTTTGCAACACAAGCTCTGCTTAGGTTAGGTACCCTACCTAATTACCTATTAGCACACAGTTATAAAGTTGCAGACCCAACTAGTTAAGATCAATGTTATAAATATTAACATAGACTCGGACGAAGCCCTGGAAAAGATAAAATGGCGTAGAAAATAGAGGAAAGCCCATTGAACTAGCTAGTGTGGAACAGAGTTCTAAATATTACCAAAAGTATCCAAAATTACGCTAGCGCTTAGCGGTATGTTGGTGTACGTCGCCACACAGGTGTAATTTCCTGCCATCGCTGGAGTTATTGACGGTATGTACAGCAACTGTAACTGCTTTGTTGGCATCGCCTCCGTATATATTTCTGATCTGGTACCCGCTCTATGAGACAAACAAATAGAAAATTGCATTAGCATACTTTTTTATAAGCAGAAGGACAGTTAAAATTAAATGTTACAGTTTCAAATACGTTTACTTTCATCATTCCATGAATGTAAAATTTCACCCCAAACTAAAGCCAACAAATGCTTGAAAAATTGATTATTCAGAATTAGAAAGATGAAAGAAAATACACGAAGATGGCAATGATATATTTTACACTACCTACCTATTATATTAATATTTTTATAGGGTCATAATGAAATGGTGCACCCGCCTTCGCTAAAGGTATACGCTGACGGGGCACAATTGGACGACGATAGGAGAATAAGCTCCGATCAATTAGCCCATCGTGACAAATTCCGTGTTAACCTGATATGCTATATTATTAGCTATGGATTTACTAGTCCATGTTACTAACAATCCCATTGCCCCTTAATATATTATAGAGGTAAAGTTTAAAGTTTGGATGTTCCGGATAATCTATGGTATTATAGATCGGACAAATAGGAAGGCTATATATTCTATATAACATCACGCTACGAACAATAAGAGCGGATGTCCAATGAAAAATGTTGCAAAAAATGAGGAATATGTGACACTGACCATTTCACGCGGATCATCATGTAATAAATATTAAGTTTCTTTTCATTCAATAAAAGAGTTTTTATCCAATACAAGTATTAAAAGATTTTCAATTCAAGCAATATTGGATCTAGTTTCAAATCAGCCAGAAGATTCAATATTTCAGTATTGAATCGTGTAATACTGAGCAAAGTTCGTTGTATCAGAATTAACATCATAACAGTATATTAATTTGATTGAACTTGTTATCTCCCGCGGGTATGAGGAGTTAAGAATGCTAATTTAAAAAATATATAACTTTCTTTTCCTTATTGTATAAAAGATTATTAGTAATTATTAAAATGGGGGTGTGTTAGTAATGGAGACTAGTGGCCTCATTGCTAGCAATGCTCCATGCGGTCCTTCCTAGTGGATTGACCAAGAAGGGGTTATTGACCTGATTTTATACTCACGCTATCCTCCACTAGTGCCCCGCCAGGGTATACCGTTCGCGTAAAAATTATGTTTTCAATATAATTACACCCGTCTGGTGTAATTATATTGAAAACATAATTTTTAATTTATATTCATATTCTTAAAAATATAAAAATGTCATATAAAACTATACTTACGAAGCTTCATTTATAACCAATCCTTTCGGGTCCTTCCACTGAGGTTGTGTGATTAGTGAGGGGTCCTGTGCATCCGCTTGGCATGTCAGAACAACTGACTTTCCAATTGCTACAGTCTGCACCTTTTGCGTTGGGAATATTTTTAGCGTCTGGCTCGCACATCCTGTAAAACAACATACGTATTTTAATTGATATAGTCTATTGCTTAGTGTAGAAATATTGTAGAATAAGAAAAATCGCCTAATTAATATATGTATTTATTTTAAAACGCAGTTTATATTTACTCAATGTGTAAAGAAATAGACGACGCTGTGACAAGAATACCTATGTAATTGAAACAAAATAATAGCGCAGAGCGACGTTCGACGTTCCATATTCATATATGTATAATTTTCATAAATACCTAATGGCTATCGCAAACACCTATATTATTAAAATATCTTACTTCCAATTGATTATCAATAATATATTATGTGTAGGTCTGTAACAAATACCGTATTATATATTGTATATTGGCATATAAACATACGTATAGACCTGTTAGAGCCGACATTATTAAGATAAATTAATGATATTATAACACATTTAAAAAACATTAAACATATAAATACAATAATAAGGAAACTAAGCATGACATAGCTTAGTCCTTTCACGTATTTTTGATTATCCTTTTCAGTAACGAACTAAAAGTTGTCTATGTCCGAAACGGTACAGATAATGTTAGTTATTTATTACATAGGACATTTATGTATATATGTAGTTTAGTTTATAAAATATTCTGTGGGAGAAACGGCCGTTCTGTAGATGGACCTGGTAACTCTTTAATTAACTTTACCGCAATTTATTCGTCGGCACGTGACGATGCTACTTATTAACGCAGTTATTCTTCCATGTTACTGCAATTCAGGGTTGCCAACCTTAAAATATTTAGGCTTTTTTATATGAATAGAGTTGTTGAATTGTAAGGCCGAAATATGACACATGGGCGACCACTAGTATGTGTCTATTACTTTAAATACATATAAAGACTAGGTATACTATTAAAAAAAAAAGAGTGATGAGCAAGCAGATGACCCATTTGGTGGTAAGTAATAATCGTTGCTTTAAATTGCACTGTAATGTGGTAATTATGATTTTATTTATTTACGAAGTATAATTTTATTTAGGTAGGAAGACCGCCACGGACATCATGTCATCAAGTAATTTCCCTAAAATATCTTACCAAAAGCTTACAAACAATCGTACTTACATGACGATCCTCATACTGTCGGCATCCCTACTGCAATTGTCGTTGTAGTACGCGAGAACCCTAATTGCATTTTGCGAACTAAATGTTCTGCCTATGTAGTTTAAGACTATTACAATACAGATTTTTTTTCACATTTGTTTTATTACTATTGTAATTTAAAATATGTATAATACGCTTCTTTATCCTGTAAAATCTATATAATTTCATAAAAATAAAAATAAAACTTTAAGCTTTAAAAGCCTTATGGCATTTTATTTATGTAAGCTATAACTATTTCGTTATCGATAGTTCCTGTACTATCACCGCCTTATTATCTGTGATCAACGCGACGGTTGACTGATAGAGAATGCCATCGGGCATTAAGTTCGCCATGTATACATTTTTGTGTGCAAAAGAATAAATAAATAATCGTCTATTTTCTTAATAATACACAAATATAGTTTAATTGTCACCGAAATATATCATGAGCATACTTCTCTAGATGTATGTATGAACATGTCTCGGTTTAGTGTACAACGGCGTCTTCGCCTCAAGTGTTGTTGTCTATTCACGAGAGCACGTCTCGTTATTATGGGATTTTCATCTTGTTTTTCGCATGTTTTTTCTTTTACTCCTAACATCGTAATCTCACCGAGTACGGTTATGTTACGTGTTATAATGAGTTTTATTTTGTTGTAAAATTTATGTTAGCGGCATGATGTTAGAATTATATAATGCATGTTTTCTTTGTACCTATAGCTGCATTTTGCGGTTTTGCTGGCAGGAAGATGTGTTTCTCGCATGTTTTGTATACGAGTAGGAACTTTTTTAATTTTATCAATTAAAAATTATTTTTATTTCGCTTTTGACATAAGAACTGATAAGAAACAGCACTTCTTTCAGATGAACTTGTACATGTTCACAAAAATACAGATTCATGTTGTTCAAATTAAATTAGGGGAAATGTAGTGACCAACAGTATATATCTACTATTACATTTTTGTCAAAAAATAACATTTAGGGCATAGCTATAAATTAAATATTTCATCTATATAATAATTAAATAACACGTGATTTCGAATAAAAAATATCCGGGGGTTCACATTCATCAAAAATAATAGTCGTGAATTCGTACTATATTATCACTTTTAAGTACAAAAGAATAAGAATAATAATACAATTAAAAATTGTAATTATGTGGCCAATAAAGCTAAATAATAAAAAATATATTACTTTTTCATTAATTTCTATGCAACTTTTTTTGGTATAAAACTAATAATTATTATTAGTAACCGAATTAATAATAAAACTACAAGTTGCTAAATCAAGTAATAATTTATAGGCGTTGCATTGTACAAGCAGTAGCTGTCTACACTTACTCTTTAGAAGAAAAAAGGCACTCTTTTTACCATATTTTAAGTATGCAGTCCACGTCGCTGCCTCCCTTCGTGGATCCGTAGAACATTACCTACTGCGTTCTTGCAGTCCATTTTGTTCAATCATTTTGACAAAAGAAAATACAAGTCTGCGCAGGTTTCCTTTTTTTTAAACTCAACTTCATACAAAGTAATACTTGACAATGTAGTGTTTTTTTTGTAGTCCTATATTACCTAGCAAGCAATGAGTAAATTTGTTTTGATTATTAGCTATTTTTGTTAGCCAAAAGGTACCAACTCATTCAACACAAATCTTAAATATAAAAAAAATGCAATAAATTTTAAAGTTCTAATTTTATTAAATACGAGTTAATGTTTTTATTGTTACTAAAGTATATAAAAACACCATAATAGTACCTACTTGTGCTGAAGAAGTGCTGCATTTCCCAATAATGATAGTAGATAATCCTTAGTGTCATAAATGCGACAGTCAGTTTGTTACTCCTTCATAATTACTTATAACAGCTTACTGAATCATCATACATTTTTATATACGTATATATATTTAGATTTGGAATAGAAAAGGTTCTATTCTTATTCACTGTCCGGTCAACCATTAATCGAACGAAACTACAGACACAAATTTATTAAGCGAATGCATTTCTGATGCTAGTTACTCAAAATATTTTTGAATCGTCTAAAAATCGATAATCCCATCTTTATTTGCATGGAACCATAGGCTTTAATAAATTATTACTGATATGCATTATTATGTCAGTTACTTATTCGTTAATTTTATCTTTGGCATACATATTTAATACATACAGATTATGATGAAACGAGGAAACTGACTTTGATATGTTACAGCTCAAGACAATATATACTTATCTAAATAGCATAAAAACATACAATGTCGGTAATATTGTATACCCTCAAGGGTATGTGAAAGAGGATTTATTTTGATTTACAACATAATGTTATGAATGACAAAAGTGTGTTCCCCAAGGGTTTCTGAACCGCAGAATTTTTATATAGTAAAAAATAGGTTTTATAACTTCTTTCGTCGATGCAAATTGGGTAGGGGAATTTGTATTGTATTCCCATTCGAAAATATCCACGGAATGTGACAAAAACTTGCTCAGTTCAATTTGAAAATAAATAAAAGTAAACAACATATTGCACAGGCGTTGAGAGGGATTAATAATTGTTGAGACGGTGTACGTTCTCGGTGAGTATCCGATAGCAACTGAAGGTAATGATATATTTATATAATACTAGCTGTTATTTCCGAATTTGTCTGCATTTTTCGAGATAAATAATAATATCACACTCAGCTATCTAGTCCCAAGTTATGTAGAGCTTGTGTTATGGGTACTACACAATACTACAACTGATACAAATACTATTATAATATTAATGTCGTTATTCCATGTACGAAGTAAATATATACATATAACAGATATCTATTACAAATACAAAAATTTTATTTAAAATAGTTCACTAGTTATAGAAACAGCTAAGGAGTCATTTTTAACTATATATACATAGATATTATAGATATTATCTCCTCCTTATTATCCCAAAATAAATAATACAATTACATACACTCAAGCTATTTCAGTAATATATTGTTATGTCTCTACATACACGATTTTATTAAAGTTTTTTCATATTTCCGTGAGTAATATTAGCTAAGAGACGTTACACACAGTTTCCAAACAAGAACGTTTATTCGATGACCGTAAAATATTATAGCCAGCAAAATTTTATACCACGAGAAGCAGGAAGTACTTTAGCATATTCAAGCCGCATAGTAATGCTCCATCACAGTTGATTTACGGAGACAATAACATGGCTGCAAAAGCGATTGTTAAAAAACATTAAAACTTTACATCTTGCTTGATAAGCCGTATAATATTTAAATAAAACGAAAACATAATGTAATTTAAATGATATAAAGCAAGAAAGGTATCCCTACAATTCTTTTAATCCCTTGAGACCCATTTCACAAAAGTATCCCACCTGCGAGATATTACGTAGACACTACCGCATCAAAAGCTTAACGTGAATTTTACAAAGTCTGTACCTTCGAGGCATCACCAAAATTTCATCAACTAGCTTGGGGAGAGAGGGGAGAACCGGCAAATGCGCCAACGAGGGGACAAGTGAAATAAGCGAGCGGAGGATTAAAGGGTTTACGCAAAATTTGTATGCCTCATAACGGTACCACATCCCCACGCGGTTTTGTATTACCAATTATGTTCATTTAATTCATAACAAGCTCTCTACATAGTCGTAGCGTATTCCAAAATTCATTAATAACAATACACAGTCGAGATCGTAATCAAGTTCTATTCTATATGTATTTCTCTGTTACTACTGTTAAAATTGAAAATACATACAATTTTAGTAGTTTTCTATATTTAGTAAAGTTAATTTTGTGAATTACACAAATGTATACATGTATATAAAAGGAATGTGAGTATGATCAAAACAATGTGCTTTATATATGCATATATTTATATCCGTTAATGCGATATCGAGTATTCATTCATATGT